AGGGAAAAAGCCATAGAGTCAATCTGTTAGAGGTTTAAGAAGTGAAGATATATTCCAAAAAGCAGGCATCTTCAACCAGCTCACTGAACTCTGTACTAGAGATTTTTGTTTTGTTTTTTTTTTAAGGAGGCATGTCTCTGAGAAAGAATCCACCCTTATTAATAGATGTAATTCACTAATTAATAAAAAGTTTACCCAGCTTCAGGAACACTGTTCAGGGAGCAGCAGCATTAAATAAAGAGGGCATGGAAAGGCCTTTTGTGTTCTTTTTTGTCCTGTATGAGGAATCCTTTCCCTTGCAAAGCACCAAATTGCATTTCCCTACCCTGCCCACATTGCCGTGAACGTGTTCTGGTACATTGTGGCTCTTCCAGGGATACTCCTCATATCAATCCTGAAGCCTTTCAAAACATGGATGGGAGTCAGAGTCGATCTGTGCCAACATTCCTGCTGAGAATGAGCCCGGTTCCAATATGTGTGGGGGAGCCCCCACTTCCCGCTCTTGCCTGTTTGGGGTACACAGATACAGCTGACTACAGGGAATGCAAAGTTAAGAAACCACGTGGCTGGAACACTATCACTTACTCTTTCATAATGATCTCTGTCCAGGAAACTTAAAAAAAAAGAAATCAGGTTTTTCTATCATTCTGTGCAGCTGCATGCTTTGATGAAAAGCTACTTCTGCTCCATAAGCAAGAAAAACGCAGAAGAACGGTGGACAGATTCTAAATACAGACAGGGGCTCCGGGAGCCCTATGTGTCTTTTAAAACCCTTCCAGCCAACTCGAGTACTAAGAATAGAGTAACTACTTGGCTTGTGCCTTCATTCTGCACATGAAGAAACTGAGGTTTCAGGAGCCAAAGTGTCACTCCCAAACTGAAGGAGGAGTTGGGCACCACGCCAGTGTGTAGTACCTGGGTCTCTTGACACCTGTGGGTAATCCATAAACCTGAATATGGTTGCAGTTAGCCAGCTTGTCAGTGATAGGGTGGGAGATGTTGCCTATTTGATCAGAATAGGACTTGGTTTTATAAATCTATCCCTACTGACTTGACTCTTAACCACTCACAAGACCTGTGTGTCTTGCGGCCCCATTTACCTCTCCGTGCACTTCTGCCTTCTGATCCTGCATCAGGGGTTCACCGTGACCGGGGTCACACATACTCCCAAGGAGTACTACTCACTGTCTCTCCCAGGCCCTTGTGTGGTGTCTGTATTTTGTTCTTTCTGACATTGTCTAACTCCATAGATTCTAATTTTGGGAACCCTTGTATGGGCTTTGTACAGGTAGTATTTTTGGTCGGTTTGCACGGGACCTGTCAAATTTTATAAGCAGACATGGAGTCAATTCTCACTTGAACACTTGAGTTTTAAATATTACTTTTCCCTATTAAGAAAATCTTGCTAAAAAAAAAAATCCCTTGCTTTGGACTTGCATCTGTTTTCCTTTCCATCACTTCTTTCCCCTTCTTGGTAATGATAATGAGGAGTGCCTCCCATTTGCGGTCATTTAACCTGTGTCCACTCACGGAGAGAATTCATGAGTAATAATGGGTTCTCCAAAGCCCTAATCTGTGGATAAAGACCGGAGGGAGAGCTCTGACTCTGGCTTATAACTAAGTACCTCAGAGCCATAATTCTGTCCACTCTTATCTAATATTAAATCTGACCCAGATTTTTGTCCCAGTGGACTGTAAAGCTACACTTAGTGAGCACCTGCTAGGTTTGTGTGGGAGTCCTCTTAGCTGTGAGGTCCTTCCTGGTACAGCATTGCACCCGGCACGAAGTTGGAGAACCAGGAATATGTGTGTTGAATGAAGGGGATCAGTGAAAACTGCGTTTCCTCAGTGTCTTGTCCTGAGGCCCCTCCAGATGGGAATGGTTCTCCCGTGGCCTAACACATTCAGTTGTTTCTTGACTCTGAGCTGCAACTTGACCTTCTTCCAAAGATGAAGAGGAAAGGCATTATTCATCTGAGATTTGCCTCACAGTGTTTAGCACGAATTTGGTTTCTAAGGAAAGGCTGGCAAAGCACTGACACAGGAAAAATTATTCTTAGGTATTCTCTGATGACCATAGACTGAGCAAGGTTTTTGTATAGTTACCGTAGCCATGAAAATAATCACTGGACAACATTCCTAGTGGCAAAAAATACCAGCCCCTAGAACTTTTTGATTAATGTCAGGAGTAGGGCTAACAGAAATGCAATGCCAGCTGGGCCCGCACTCCCTTTACCAACCCCAAACATTTATTCAGCATCTTACTGTGTGTGAAACCCATGATTTCCCCTTGCTTTTGCTTGTTTTTTAATGTCATTCTGAAGGCAAAAATGTAAGTTTTGCAACTGATGGTTTGTGATCATCATTTGTATCTATAAAAGGTGATATTCCTACTCACCTGGATACAATTAGGAGTTCAGGGACAAGGTTTTGGTGGTGAGTGGCACACATTAGGTGCTCAGGAAATACAGAAAGGAAGACGGAAAGTTGAGAGGGAGGCGCATAGAGGGAGTGATCCTCGCTCATGCCCTGGCATCAGTCTACCTGGGGTCTGACAGGCTCTGCCAGCCCACCTGCTGGGTAACATGGTACCATCCATTGACTTTCAGCTCGTAAGTTTGGTCATCTTTAAAATGAGATAGTATCTACTATGTAGGGTTTTTGAGCGACTTAAATGAGCTAATTACATGTAAATGGCTGACATAGATCAGCTCAGTAAACGTTCATTTTCTAATATAATTAATAATAAGTTTGGGAATTCCAGTGATTGCCTTCTTTGAGAAAGCACTCGTCTGTTTATCTTCCTGGACTTAAAGATGAGTCATCATCAATATGGATTCCTCAGGGCAGAGAGAGCCAGGAACCCTAGAATTCCTCAGGAGAATCATCAGTCACAGAGGACAGCCGTCAGGGACTCCCCATGGTGCTCTTGTCCCAGCTGTCCTCCTCTGAAGGCTTCCCCTCTCAAGCTAGGGATCTCAGGCGTCAGTCACAGTTTTCACCTGACCGCTGTCCTCTTGCCAGAACAGAGGGCCAGATTCTCCTTTCCATTGTGTACATACATTTTCTTCCTGAAGAAGAGGAAGCATGTTTTCCTGAGAACAGGGCCTTTATTAGCCTGTCTTCTAGGGAGTTTGCCTTGAGATAGAAGACAGACAAACTGACACGGCAGGAGAGGCACCATCTGGCTGGTGGGCTGATGCCTGCCCATTAATCTTAGGGCTGGATGTCAGTATTTCTTAACCTCTTGGAAACTAGCATTGTCCTGTAAACTAAGAAACACCAATTCTAGCTCTTCCAGAGACATCACTATTTTTCCCCCATGGTTAGGTTTCCTCGGAGTGAAAGTACATTTTCTAAAATTTTTGCCATAAGGTAGAGTAATAATAAAAACATAAAAGCATTTAATCCAGTGAATGAGTAATACTGGCAACTGAAGGAAGTCCGAGAGTTTCCCCAGTATTTTCCTGAAGCAACTGATAAGCGTAAGCAGTTTGGGGGAAGTGGGGGCAGGGACGGGGGAGCCCTGCTTTGGAAAGTCTTAGCAGTAGCTCCTCTTACGATCACCTCCATTGCTCTGCACTGAACATGGAAAGAGAGTGGCCTGGCTTCTCCCGCCTTCACGTAGCTACCATGAGTGGGCACACTGTGTACGAGGAGGGTTTTAAGGACGAAATATCTTCACTTAATCCTCAAGACAACTGAATTCTGAGGTAGATACTATGTTTAGCCCCAGGTACAGAGGAGGAAACCGAGGCTCCAAGAAGTAAAATAAATTTTCCAAGGTCAAACAGTTGGTAAGCAATAAAATCAGTAGAAAACTTCCAGGTTCCAGAACATTTTCTCTTAACCATGACTACCCTGCCTGAGGAATTGTTAGTCCTACTTGAAGATCTCAACAAGAGGCTGGAGGGACTCAAATTTAGCATTTCTTTTCTCCAGGCTTTTAAAATATTTTATTTTCAGTAGAATTCAGTAGCATTTTTGATCCCAACAAGAGCAAACTGCCCATATGGGCAATTTGGGGACTCGGTATTTCCCATAATGTGACCTCTACCCTGATAGTAGAGTAGCACCCTGTTATGAGTCAGGTTCTCCGGAAGCGGCTGCTGAGATGGAGTTTGCCAGGCAGGTTATGTATTAGGGATCGCTGCTGAAGGGGAGTGGGCACAAGGGAAGCTGAACTGCAGTGCAGGCCTGACAACGTCCGCCAACCACATGCAGCATGGCGGAGCATCCATGGTCCTGCAGAGCTGTCCTGTGGTGAGCTGAGAGCAAGGGCCTCTACACCCCTGCTGCCATCGGTGGATAGGCCACCCACGGGAGGGTATTCCCTTGGGCAAGGAAAAACTGTTCAGCTGAGGCAGACTCTTAAAAGTGGACAGCATTTCTATCACTGAGGCAGTGTGTTCTTCTGTTTCCATCTTGACACTTTCAGTTTCATTGGAAGTGTGAGTTTACACCATGGTAAATGTTATCTCTAACTCAGCCTATTGTTTGCTTGGCTTCTAGGTAAATAGGCATTGCACAGTATAGACAGGTCTTCAGCCATCGGGAATCCTTCTACTCTAGACCTAGGCAGAGGCAAAGGTGTAACATCTATATTTTCTTTGAGCCCTGTGATTAAAGTCATATGTGGCATTTTTTTTTTTAAATACATGAAGATTTTGTTTTACATTCATCATGTATCATGTCTTTCATGTGGAGCCAGTTGGCTTTTTTGGAGACCAGTGATTAAGATTCCAGATTAAACCCTCTTTCCATGCTCCTTCCATCATGAAACTAAAGCAGTCTTCCAACTCACTTCAGCACAGACATTAAACTGCATCCCAGCTGACTTGTATCTCGTCCGCCCAACCCGACCACAGGATTTATTCCTGCCGCCTCCACTGGGTTAGTTTGCCTTGCAGGATCAATTACTGTTGCCCAGAATTGGCTTGGCCACTGACTGTCTCAGCTTCAAGGTGTGCAAAACCTTCCTCCATTTCCTTTCCTTTCAGGTTGGAAAGCTTATCCAAGAAGCAGCTGGAAGAAGTAACTTGAAGAGAGTAACTCTGGAACTTGGAGGGAAAAGCCCCAATATTATTTTTGCCGATGCTGATTGTAAGTCACCCACAGATCTCATACATGTGCCAGCACACTGCCTTCCGGTGCCCTCTTTGTATCTCCACTTTGACAGGACACTAAGAAGAAGATCTGGGAGACTAAGGGGCACTTAAGTAGAAGAATGTGGCTCTTTCCTTCTAAGGAGCAGATAGACTAATGTTGGGAAAGAACGCTTGTCAGTTGACAGCTGAACAGAGTTTGTTTTCTGGACACTAATGAGCTTCTTTGACTCTGTGATGCTGTAGAGCAGGGTAGAAGAGATGAAGGCTTGCTCAGGGCTGTGCAGTGCAAAGGGGAGTGGCCTAAGCCTCCGAACGGCTGAAATACCCTCTCTCTGCCGAGATGCAAGAAATCTGAAACTTCTCAACTGTGCCTGGTGGCTCTGCAGATCATTAAAAAAATACTAGTTCACTAGGCCTGCCAACATTTCCCCAAACCCCCAACCCCTTCTCTGTTTAGTGCCCCCATCCTCTGCTGCTTCCATGACTTTCAGCCAGGATGACAACCTACTTTGGTAAGTCCCGTATGAATGGACCTCAATCAGGTGATTACGCCTTGGAGGTAGGACTCTGTGGCAGCATGGAGCAGCAAACCTAGGAAATCCCATGTCTCCAGGCATGATGCCATGCAGTCCATCCTGCCTAGGTGTGGCCTTTCTGTTTAGAAAAGCTTTCCAGGGAATGCAATTCCAAAGTCTCTTTCATTCTTTCTTTTTCTTCTTCCCATCCTGCCAGGCGCAGCTGCTTTCCCTTTCATCACTGGAGAGATCAGAAAGCAGAAAGCAGTTTGTCTGACTCTCAGCCCCAGCTTGGAGTCCGCAGAGAGTTCAGCATCGGCTTCATGCTGGCTGTCCGAGGGATCAGAACTCTCACACCTAAATTTCTCTTGGGGAGTAGGCCCTCCACTCACACCACTGGTTGACTGATGGGAGTCAGTCATTTAGCAGCTAACACACCATACTTACTAGTCCTATCTTGAAGGATACGCTACGACATGAAAAAGTTTTATGCCATTACACCATCCCATGTAAATATAGAGGAAACTTGTTGATTTTCAAGAAGATCAGTTTCTGTTCTAGCTTATTAATTCAACAAAATATAAATTGAGCATACAGCTACAAGGTTCTGTAGGGTAAGGTTACACGTTGGCAGTCCACAGACAAGATGCAGGCATACATATGTTTACCTGTCTAAATGTCACACAGCACTTGAAAAAAGAAAAACTGCACATTAAAAATACTGACTTCTGTTTTTTTCTTAAAATTGACCATCTGGCAGCCAGTGGCTTACATTCATGCAGAGCAACAGCCAAATGTAGTGTCTTTCCTTCTGAGCCTCCATCAGATTGTTTCAGTAGCTGGCAGATTCCTACCGTTACATTATCTGCCTAGCCCCTTGGCATCCTGGAGTTTGAGACCCCTGTTCTAGATGACGTGGTCCAGTCCTTCTTTTTACAGAAGAAGAAAGAGGCTCAAAGAAGTGAAGTTGTCCACGTTCACATAGCAAGTAACATCAGGGTCTAGTTAGAACTTCCACCTAAGCTGCGTTCTCAATCCAGTGCTCTCCCCAGTGCTGCCTACTCACCATACGCTCTGCGGTGAGCGTGGCATTTATACCTAGGGCTCTGGGGAGAGGGATGGGAGGTGACTCTGTAGACACACCCCTCCGCAGGAGAACTAGTGCTGAGGACGTGGCTGTTTTCCTCTTGCAGTGGACTATGCTGTGGAGCAGGCTCACCAGGGGGTGTTCTTCAACCAAGGCCAGTGCTGCACCGCGGGGTCTCGCATCTTTGTGGAGGAGTCCATCTATGAGGAGTTTGTGAGAAGAAGTGTGGAGCGGGCCAAGAGGCGCATAGTGGGGAGTCCCTTTGATCCCACCACTGAGCAGGGACCCCAGGTAGAGAAATAATAAACATCCGCTTTCTTAATCCTTGGCGAACACTGGACACTCTAGTGGGACCCCAGAAACAACTTCTTTTTTCTGCTTCCTCCTTACTCTTCCACCTTGTCTTCATGGCTAGAAATGTAGCTGGTGAGGCATTCTTATTTCTCATACTTCTCTCTTCCTTTCTAAATTTTATCTCTGAAACACTAAGGGATTAGGGTTGCCTTAAGGATACTTTGAACTTTGGGGGTAAATTGGAGTGTCTCAGCTCTAAAGAAGACCTGTGCATGACAAGATGGATGTTGACCTTGAGAACTGAGACCCAGTGGTAATCACTGGCCTTCAAGACCCCTCTACAAATGCCTTTGTCAGGGAGAGTGGACATCTCTTTTTCCCAGAAGCCACTTATCCTTCTTCAGTGGCTGAGGAATCCCTCCACCAACCTGACCTACTTTGGGGAGGTCCCATGTGGCTTGTAAATGTGTAGGAAATGAGGGCTGTCTCCTTCCCACTCTGCTCTGTGTTTCTTTCTTACCCTGAATGCTTCATGTGGTGGGATGGGGTGGGGAGGGCCACAAAAGTCCCTGCAGTCCACACTATTTGGCTCTGCAGGTTCTCCACAATCATGAAGGCATATTTCCAGATAGAATTCTGGTTTTAAACTGTAGATAGAGCCCAAGAATTTGTAAAGGCTATTTGGACCAGATTGCATCTAGATCTCTAGCGTGTGGGTCTTCCCGATAAGCAACAACATCACCTAGGTTGGGGGACCGTTTGAAAGATGACTGATGAGCAGTTAAACCCAAGTGAATTTAGGTTTTTAACCATAGTAATTGAGTGATACTTATGACTTTTGGGGAGCAAGGTTGACTTTATTTTATGGAATAGAAAGTTAGTCCTCATTCTTTGAACTTGATCTTTTCCTCTACGGGTGTAATAGGAGGTCCAATTAAAAATATTTCCCAATAGGATTTGATGTGTGGTGCCATATAGCTCACCTATTGTTTTCATCTTTTTAGTATCAGTACAACTTGCTGAACTGTTCATTTGGATGTAGAGGTCAGTTTTCCCCCATTTGTAAACAATGACTAATCAATTAGCCAAGTTCTCTATCATCTGAAAACATGGCCTATGTCTGATAGTTCTGATTTGGCACTCTCACACTCTCATCAGTGCAGTAATTTACTGAAGTTCCCAACATGCTGGGTGGAACCATAAAAAAACCACATGTTTTGTTGGTGAAGAATGGGTAAGTGACAGCAGTTCCATGTGATAGGACTAGATATCATGGAGCTTTGAAACAAAATCACAGATGAGAGATTCTTGAGAACCCACTCACTTTACACGGAGTCATTAGGAAATTTCTTTTGTAGATTGACAAGAAACAGTACAACAAGATCCTGGAACTCATCCAGAGTGGTGTGGCAGAGGGTGCCAAGCTTGAATGTGGAGGCAAAGGACTGGGCCGAAAGGGATTCTTCATAGAGCCTACGGTGTTTTCCAATGTCACCGATGATATGCGGATTGCCAAGGAGGAGGTATCCAATGTGGGGTTCTAACAAAAGCCACATCTTTCTGGAATGGTTTCCAGAGCACTTCTAGTACATGATATTCTAGCTGTCGCTCTTTATATTTTATATATATTCTGTAACAGCTATAAACATCACTATGAAAAATCTCACTTTCAAGAAAATGTTAAATCAAAAGGCAAGCAAGCTAGATGGAGGCCAGGTGACCTGCTAAATGATTGCATTTATTATTAGCCCAGAGGACAGACACCATAGCCAATCATTGGCCTTAGTAATATGCTTGCAACAGGTCTGTTCCTTCAGATGTAGGTTACTAAGCTGTTCCCCAGGAAAGAGATGGCACTCAAGCATCCTCACGTTCGTGCGAGAGAGGAACCAGGAGCACATCAGCCAACAGTCCAGACCAGCAGTTCTGAGATCTGGAGCAGTGTCTGGAGAATAGGAGAAGGCAGCTTTAACAGTAGAATCGAGTGATGCCAGGGAGGGTGGAGGAGTCAGGGTCCTGAACAAACTCTAAGGTTAGACACATGTACAATCCTATTCTGCCAAAGGTTATTTTACAGTTCTGTGCTGCTAAGCAGAAATGAAGTTTAAATAATGAAAGCAGAGCAAACTTGTTTTGCAATGTGGAAAGCAGTTGTAAAGGTGCTGGCAAAGCAGCCCTGTGTTGGGTCAAATGATTTTGTTGCAGATCTTTGGCCCCGTTCAGGAGATTCTGAGGTTTAAGACAATGGATGAAGTGATCGAAAGAGCCAATAACTCAGACTTTGGACTTGTGGCAGCTGTCTTCACTAATGACATCAACAAGGCCCTCACGGTGTCTTCTGCAATGCAGGCGGGGACTGTTTGGTAAGATCAGAGTCAGCGTCATTGTTCTAGCCGTAACGCATGCCAGTGGCTGTGTGGGGACCTCATAATCTCCAGAACCTGGGTGAAGTAAGCACATTCTCTGGGGGGATGGGAATACCAAAGGCAAGGAGACTCCCCCCACCCCCCCCGAGAATGGATATATACCCATTCCTGGCCAGATTGGGAAATCAAAGCAAATTTTAGATTAAAGATGTTTCGTATGTAAAAAAAAAAAAAAAAAAAAAAAAAAAAAAGGAATTAAAAAAAATAAAATTTTAAAGGAAATACTATGCCAGTGGTACTATTTCTGTGCAAGTGGAATTCAGCACTAACGGTACTATGTTTTCTTCCCTTAGGATCAATTGTTACAATGCCTTAAATGCCCAGAGCCCCTTTGGGGGATTCAAGATGTCTGGAAATGGGAGAGAAATGTAAGTGTCCAAAGCTGCTGGTGCCTGCAGAGAAATAGGGGTTGCAGATACCAGCATAGAGGAGTAGTCACACAATTGTTGATTTCTCTTACCCTCATCCATTCATTAAACAAACATTTTGTTGAGCACATACTTCTATAGGCTAAGCATTGTACTACATGCTACAAAGATGACTAGAACACAGCTCCCTTACCTTAAGTGGGAATGGAGAAAAATTAATGCACCATCTATTTCATATAATAAGGGCTATTTTATTAATAGAAGAGTGTCACACATCTTGCAAGTACTGAGGAAAGAATCCATTAATTTTTTCACAGAACAAATAACATTTCAGTTTTGGAGGGTTGGGGGCAGTCCTCCCATGCAGAGGGAGTAGCAGGAACACAGGCATGAAGACACAGCAAATTCAGAGCGTCCCAGAGTTTGGTGTGTTTGAAACAAAAGGTCATCAACTGGCAGCCCAAGGGCAAATCTGGCCTGCAGAAATGTTTTGTTTTGCCTCACAACATTTTAAAATCTTTAACTGGCATTCAAAAATGAAGAGGCTCTCCATAAAATCTAGATTTCTTGCTTATTTTCATTCCCCCATAGCAAAATCACTACAGCTGTGAGCTCTGGAATCTGTTTCTTTCCCCACCACTCCTGTGGCTTCTGGGGGCTGAATATTGGTGGTCAGTCATTTTACACATACCCAGTCCACTGGCTCATGTCACCTGCTTGGCCTCTGTAGATTCTCTGAGTCTGGGACCACAGGTTTGGACATAAGATGACAAGAAGGGGCTTGCTGAAGACACAAGTGGGAAGGGTGGCTGGAACCCAGTCACAGAGGGCTTAAGTGTTCTATGGGAGCTGAGGAGATATCAAAGGACTTCAGGCCAAAATTTCTGGCATATAGAGGATGTTCTGGCAAAGACTAGAGGAGGAAGACCGGTTACAAGTATTTTACAATAACCGTGATAGATATCATTAATTAAATGCCTGCTCTGTATTTGGTTTTATGTTCGCTTCTTTCCTAACATTGTCTCATTCGACTTTCACGATGATGAAATGGAAGTGATACACTTAACCCCTCACATCCACATGGTTTGGACGGGGAACTGAGGCTTACAGTAGTTAAGCAGCTTGTCCAGGTCACCCAGCCAGTAAGTGGCAGATGTGAGGTTTGAACGTAGGTTTCAAGTGGCTCCCATGATATCCAGCCAAGGAAGCAGGCAGGCCAGGTACAGACAGTCTTCAGGGATCAGATCAGAGTGGGGAAGAGTCCTCCTGAAAAGCAAAGGACCTGAAAAATGGGACTGTAACAAAGAAAACCTACACTCAAGGGGATTTTATTTGCAGCCTTCATATATAAATGGATTTTCTTAAGATTTATTTATTTTTGAGAGAGTGAGCAGGGGAGGGACAGAGTGGGAAGGGGACAGAGGATCCCCAAAGCAGGCTCTGTGTTGACAGCAGTGAGCCTGATGTGGAGCTCGAACTCATGAGCTCTGAGATGGTGACCTGATCTGAAGTCGGACACTCAACCGACTAAACCACCCAGGTGCCCTTATAAATGGATTTTTTGAGCAGCATTCCAAGGGTAAATGATAGCCAGGGTTGTTCTAAGCTGATGCACCCCCTCCCCCCATCCAAAAAAAATTTTTCCCTCCTTTTGAAAGCAGCTGGTTCCGGGTTTTTAAAATCCTGTGATTCACAAGAGGAGACATCTTCCATGTCCATTCCCCTCGGCCACTCTTAAATGCATCCTTGTGTGAGTAAATGCTTAGTCCATAATCAGTCTACTGAAAGTATTGAGCCATATACCATGTGCAAAGCATTGTGCTTGACCTGTGGGGGAAGATTTGGCTCATTAAGGCACTAGAAATTTTGCTGGATAAATTTAATCTACAACATTGAAAGAATCCAAAGAATTCCAGAAAAGACTGTAAAGTTATAGTGGAGTTTAGGGATGGGGGGAGATCCTTGTGAACTGTAGAAGTCTGGAAAACCTTTAGATACGATCAAATATGAAGACTTGAATTGACCTATAAAGGAGAGGAACATTTGACTAGACAGAGAGAGGGAAGTATGTTTGCAGGGTTAAGGGGCAAAGCAAGGTACAGTGGGGAAAGAGGGAGTAGAGGCATTGGGGGAGAAAGAAGTGTGGTTTTTGCGACCAAGTACAGTGAACCCGTAAGACCAGTGCAGAGGATTTACATGCTTCACATACTTTAGCTGGTCATTTCTAGCCCTTGGCCATTCCACTGTAAGTCAGGCATAGCTTTGAGACGAAGAGTAGAGTTTCTGGTACCACATTGCTTCAGAGATGGATGCTGGCTCTACCACTTAACACCTGTGCAACCTTGGACAAATCACTTAATCTCACTAAACCTCTGTTTCCTCATCTATAAAATGGGAGTAATCACCGCACCTACCCCAAAAGGTTTCTGTGAGGATTAAATGGTAGGACTGAGTATCCCAGACATCCAGACCTTCTGAAATGTTAGCTGCTGTCATCACTGTTGGTCAAGTAGATGAGTGCTATGGAGGCGATCCTTCTTTTTCTTAATACATGTCTTAGCTCAGAAGTGTGGCAGAACTTTTCCTGAGTTCCAGCTAGTATCATCAGCTTACGCTCTATCTCTGGAAATGCCAGGGAGAGGTGGCTCCTGCCTGAACCTTGCTTCTGGCCTTCAGTACTTCCCACTTGCTTTACAGCCAGAACCAGAATTGTTTGCTCAGTTATTAGTATTTTTTCAGCTTTTATAAAGTCTTCATGTGCTCCAGGTATCTCTTCTTAACTTGCTTATGGCCTTAACGTTCTGCTTCCACTTCTCAAGATGTATTCAGCCTGTCCTTTCATGTACTGCTTCTGTGTTTGTGCTTTCCACGCCTCCGAAATGTTGGGGCAGTCACTGGCTCTGGGAATGCTGCTCACGCTGTTTTGCTACAGATCATTGAGAGAGCGAATCATGAGCATAAAGTATAATAAATAATCACTGGTTGATGGAGCCTGTCCCAGGCTAGCCCTGGCCCTCAGCATGGGCAGGATGAAGGCTTGTGACATTGTCCAGGTCTAGTCTGTCCCCATTAGAAACCTTCCTCTCCCCTGGAAAGATGGTCCAGAGAATGGTTTGGCTGTGTCAGAACCACACAGAGGACAGTGGCCCAGGAGACTGAAAAGCAGCCTTTCTCAACTTGTCTTCCTGGTGCTATAATGATTTGGCCTTCCCAGTGCAGTTAAAAAATAATTAGGAAACAGTGCCCTTTGATGAGACTCCCTTCATCTTGTCTAAATTATATGATTCTTTGTCCCTACTTGCTCCCAAAACATGGGGTTTTTTTTCCTTCTTTAAATGGCGTAGAATGGTCACAAAGGTTTCAAGTCAACGAACCCGGCCTCTCGTAGTCCCCCATTCTTCCTTCTCACTTAAAACTCCACTTACCTTCTTCTGGACAGTAGTGTTTATCTCATGGCCTTGCAGACTTCATGTGGCTCTGGTTCCTGGCCCCTCCTTGCCCACTTGTAAGAGACACAGAGAAGAGAAGTAGCACCTTCTAGAGACAAACTCCAAGGAGAACTGTGGGAACCCCTGAGGTGTCCCCCACATCACCCACCACCCCCCACACAGAGAGCTGTGGAGGACTGCCCTCTACAGGTTACCTGATAGGCTGGCCACTGATTCCCAGGGCCGGAGAGAGGGCCGACATCACCTCAATTCTGGCCTGCAGCTACCCCTCCCCACTGCCTTTCATTCTTCCTGTCCTCTCCCTTACTCCTCATTTAAGCTTCCTTGAGACAAGCTATAAAATACATGTCACAAACTAAGGGGGTGGAAAGAAAGCTGTGAGCTTCAACATTTTAAAAACTAAGGACACAGCTTTGAAGATGAGAAGCATTATTAGGGTATTCTAAATCGGGGCTTCCCAAGTTTGCATCACAGCATGCATGTGCACCAAAAGTCACCTGCAGTCAGAGAAGGGGCTTGCTGGGCATGCCTATATGGGAACCCCCTCTCTAGTAAGTCTGGGCGAGGGCTGAGGGGCTGCAGTGTTAACAGGCTTCTGGAATGATTCTGATGCGGGCGATCTGGAGACCCTGCTCTGAACGATGCTGCTGTAGGAGGGAAAAGAGCAGGGAAAGATACATCCTAAACAGAAATCCCTTTTTGTTTTAGGAGTGATTTTCTAAAATGTCTGGCTGAGAGACCCCAAAATGTAACATCTTACCTTACCTATAGGTAGGCCAAGTTTGGTTCATGTTAGGGAATATAGCCTAGTCTGGCTCAGAAGTAGGGATACAGGCATCTCAGTGTGCCTGAGCCCCGACACACTGTGGAGCCATGAAGGCGACCACACAGAGAGATCAATGACAATGTGTCTGCCTTTGCCCTGTTGTGTGGTTGAAGCTTCCTTCACCGTGGAACCCTGTGTGCCACAGAATTTAACTGGATTAAGCAAATTTGAGAGAAAAACCCTGGAATGAGGTGGTCACATAGCTCCGAGAAGCTTGGGGGCTCTCAGAGACTTTACAGCAGCGTTTCTCAAAGGGTGGCTCAAATAATAACCTGCAGCATAATCTCTTGGGTTCCTCCCCAGACCTACTGAGACAGAAGCTTTGGTGGGATGGTCAGGAATCTACAACGAAGCAAGCTCCAAAGATGATCCTTATGTTTGCTGGGTTCGGGAACTGCTGCCCGTGAGGTGACAGGGCACCAGAAGGGTGGGAGTGGTGGCTCGCCTGGAGTCATACAGCCACTTAATGGCAGAGCTGCGCTGGCATTCCCCAGCTCCAGGTGTTCTGGCAGATTCGAGCCCACTCCTCATTCTCAGAGTGGGCTGTGTGTGGACCATGGTGGCAGACGGCTACCCCAGGACCCAGGGGAAGAGCTCCTCCAGTCCGGGACGGTTTTCCATGGCATCACGCACCCAAAGATTATGGGACCCAACAGCCACACTCGAAGGCGACCATACCAGCACGCTTCTGACTCTGGACTTTCTTACATTTGTCACAACCTACTTAGAGGTCTGAGGGGGAGGACAGTGGTTCAGGGTCTGTCCCATGTGCGTGCACAAGTCAGAAAACAAGAAGGGAGTAACCTCACTTCAAACAGGAGGCAGATGATGTCTGTGATGAAGAGACTCTTTCGGAATTGCCCAAGGGCAGGAAAAAGTCCAGAAAGAGCCAGAGCTGAGCTGGTAATAAAGACTCAGGGCCTGAAAAGAGCTAATGAGGGAATCTTATACTGAGTGGTATGGGACAGTCCCAAATTTATTCTCATTCCTGTAAGCAAGATGGTCAATGCAGATAAGAGAATAGCGCACATGTCCTGGTCTCTCCTTGGCTGCCTCTGATGTCCTGGTGGGGAGGCGGTAGCCGTAACAACTCAGGTGACCTTGGTGCTGGGAGGTGCTGCCGGCAAAGTGATTGGAGCCTTGTGAGGGCATGGGAATTCCTGGAAGGAAGCAGAATGAATCGTTTCTTGGTGGTTAAGCCCAGTTACTGTAATGTATCTTGTACACATGACTGTTTCTTAAAGACAGCCTTTATTAATATTTTCTTATTCAAATGCATCTCTAAGTGTTCTTTTATTTTTTCCTGGCAGAGGCGATATATCCACCCGGGTAGAGGGGATGGGGAGAAGCCTTCCTCCCTTCCTCCCTTCCTTCCTTCCACAAGTGCTGTATTTGAGCCTGAGCTGTAGGCTGTACTCTAGGCTTGGCAGTGTTGGGGGTGGGGGGTGGGGAGCAGAAAGCAGGATCAGTAAGATGCAGCTCCATGGGAGGGGACAGATGCTCAGGCAGCCCCGTTGCAGGTGACGGGGCTGTGGTAGAGGCTGTGAACACGGAGGAGGGAGGAGCTCTTAAGAGAGAGCCGGGAGAAGCATCACAGAGAAGTGACTTTAAAAAGAATAGAAGAAAAAAAGTTGAACTTTTTTTACGGAAAAAAAATAGAATGTGCTTGATTTTACAGTGAGATTTAAAAAAGGGGGGAAGGGCAGTGACAATGAAGTGAAATGAGAAGGGAATACAGACAGGTGAAGAAAAGGAACATTGTGGCCAGGAGACATGGCCACACCCCAGCATCCTGAAGACAGTGGTTGGAGACCCAAGCTGAGTGACTGGAGGGCTGGGAAGGGCTGTATCTCCTGTCCCCACCGAGGCAGGTGACCCAGCTCCCAGTCAGTAAACGTTTCCCCGGAGTCTTGGGGGACCAGCTGACTACCACTTCCTTTTCTGTCAGTTATTTTGATTTCCTGCCTCTTTGCCCTTACTCTGTGGGCATGTGGGCAGCTTGTATCAGGATTGTTTTTAAGCGTTGCAGGTGATCCGTGCTCTTGCCTGGTGAGCCTTTAGGTCTTCCTTTCCATTTCTTAAGTCTAAGGTCCAGTGAAAAGGAATTTAGAACATCAGACAGAGGGGATCCCAGCCCGGAAATCTCATGCTTTTCTTTCAGCTAAAGTAGACTAGATCTCTAGGGGAGCAACTGGAAAACACACATGAGGGGGTGTCCAGTGGCAGGAGCAGGTTTTAGAGGAGGAAGGCACACCATCGTCCCCAGGAGCCATTGCTGCCTGCGGTAGAGACGCGGCGGCAGAGACCTGGGCCTGGTCCGCTGCTGTCCATGGTGCCCACCCAGGGGTACAGTTCAGGGCCTGTGTGACCGCTGGCCCAGGCTAATCCACATGCCTGTTTCTCTGAGTAGGTGGCAGTGCTGCACCCTTCTGTGCAATGTTGTGGAGACAATCAGTCTTTGCCGTCAAGAAACGGTTACTGCTCAGGATATGACAGCTCTCTGTGCTCCTCAGAGGAGAGCTGGGCTGTCCACTCATCAGACATTTCTACATGGAAACCCAGGGCCTGCTGTTAGCAGGTGATAAACCTCCCCTTCTCGGGACTCTTGCCGTCCCTCAGGCCGGGCCGCCCAGCCCTCTGGTGTCTGATACTGCCTATTTCTGCCTTTTAGGGGGGAGTTTGGCTTGCGAGAGTACTCGGAGGTGAAGACGGTGACAGTAAAGATCCCTCAGAAGAACTCCTAAGAAGGCCAAGGGGGAAGGTGGAGGCCATCCCGCAGGACTCTCCCTCTCTGCTCTCCCTGGGGGGCCCGGCTCTCAGGAATCCAAAGTCCGTACTTGGTCCTTATTTAAAGTGAAATAATGACACGTAGGCCAGGCCAGTCAGTGGGTAATGAAAGCAGACCATGTGGGCACCATTTCCTGGCACTCTGTAAGGGTTCACCTGAATAATACCAAATACTGGGGAAAGGGGATGGAGAGCAGAGGAGTAGCTGTCAGGGACTTCGATCTCTCCAGAGGGATGGGCTGGCGCCTTTTGTCACAAAGAACTTTCCTCCTGAGGGAAGGTTGTCCTTCCATTGTCTTCATTTTCCCCTTTCCAGCCTCTCTCTGCTCACCCATCCCTCCCACCCCTCCAAGGAGATCTCAGCTGAGCTCATTTGGGGCAGATGTTTGGGCCGGGAACAATTTTCCAAGGTTTTGCAGCCAAATTACCATTTCATGTTATCCACTTCTTCAAAGCAAAACATGAAATGGTTTTAGTTAGAGCCAGACCAGACTGAAAATGCCAGGAGCTGGTACACTGCAGATGTACCAAGAAGCAAGAACTGGGGACGTTCCTGACCCAGTCTGGCTTTCTTACATCCATAAATAACACGAGCAAAAGAGCAGGAAGATGGAGATCTGGAGATCATCCTATGTAGTTCACAACTTCTGATCTGGCTGCTTGGCTTTGGGGCGTGTGGGTGCACGTGTGTTTACTTCCTTCTGGGTGATTCTGGAATAAGGTGGGGGCAGGGGGGGTTGTTTTTCATAGATTGATAAGATCTTTTTCCAAAGCTTATCTTAACAACCCAGAAATAAATGGCTGGGCTCAAGAATTTGGTAAAAGGTAATGCTGGGGGCCTTGCGGAAATAATTTCATTTTCAGTACTGGCTGACAATTCTTACTGAGTGAATTATCTCTGCAGTTGGACTCTTCAGCCTCTGTCCCCCGCCCCCCATTGCCCCAGCACTGCTACTCCCAGTGCTCTGGCTGTCACTTTGGCCTATCGTGCCCTAAATCCACTGGCAGTAACCCTGGAGAACCTGAGCAAGCCTGCAGATTCCGTGTCACTCGCAGACTTGCAGCGTGCCACGATTGCCACGCTCCACCAGACCTCCGCCGACTCGTCCAGCGGCTTGTCCACGTCCACGCGGCATTTTCCCTCCCAGCCTCCCCAGGAGCCTCCCAAGGGGGAGGCACCAAGCAGTGCCCCTCCCTCCCCTCCAGTCACACCCTCCTCTCCTGCTTTCCAACGCATCCACCGGTTGATGGACAGCATCACCTTCCTTTCCTCCTTCCGCTTTCCTGGCTGCCGAAGTCAGTCCGGTCTGTAACGTAGATGGAGATCATTTATTTAAAAGTACCAAACATAGCCTAGAGTACATGGAATATGGCCAACACATATATAGCCTTCTGTATTTAATGGGTTTCTGCTTTCTAACCATCCCGGGTTTCTATTTATAAGTCTTGTCTATTCATGATGTTTAAAGAAATCCCTCCTTGCTGTTATTTACGAACGGCAGTGCATTCAGTGGCCCGATGCCTTGAGAGACGCCACATCTCTGAGCCCTTCCATGTGACTGTCATGCTCTCCTTATAGCTTGTGTCCAAGTGAACATATCCATTAACCAGCTAGTTACCTTTCAACTGCAGTATAGAATGTGAAAATGAAGATTTATTTCTTTTAATTTACTTAAAAAGAAACCTCTGTGCTAGCAATAAAGCATTTATATTGTGTACTCCTTGGGGTTATTTGGCTGTGTTTATATTATAAATCTTTGTGTCATACTGAGTACACTTGGGTCCTTCTCTCAGTGGCTGGGGCTTTCAGCTGGGCTGTTTTCTCTGGTTACTGACCAGAAGGCTGGGTGAGTATTTTTACAGAATGCAGTAAAGTGAACAAGACCCTTGTTTTCTGACACAATTCAGAATTGGTGTATACATACAGTTTTGTGTGGCAAACAAGTATAATCATTTATGAAGCCTGGGAAATGACTTCATTCAAAACGCAAAGGAGCCTCGGGGCCTCGTCCTCGCCGTCACGGCTACATGACAGAGCTCGCGTTGCTGATGGTATTTGGCAGTGGTTTTATTTTTATTTACTGTGGTGCAATGAAGTCAAAAGCTGACAACCTGACGCAGTATTTTGGCAGCTGTAAGAAGGAAGCTGTGAATGGTGACTGTATTACTGGCTAGAGTTTGTTTGCTCTGCATTCTCAGAGTTGAGCTTTGGGGGAGTGCTTTCCACTCTTCAGACCTGCACATCCCCTCCTTCCAACGCTTGGAATCTTCACCTGAGCCCTAGTCATGTGAGACAAAACAAAAACTGATGACTTGGCCACAAAGGGGATCAGACTGGGTGGAGAGTCGTGCTGCTCTCTGACTGCTGAGATCTCGTCCCTCAGAGGAGGAAACTGAACCTGGGGAGCGCAGTCCCCAGGGCACTGGGGTGTATTCTGAAATATAAGATGCAGGCTCCCTATGAATCTACTTCATGTTCATTACTTTCAGTCACCAGGAAGAAAATGAGAACCAGATGGGCATAGAGTCCTCATTGAAAAGTCCTTTGGAAGCTGGCACTGTAGAGCTTCTAGATAATGGGAATCCAGAATAAGATAGACATAATTTGATGGTTCTTCAAAGCATAAAGATCCTCAAATCTCATCCCTTTATGGTATCAATATAAAGGCAAATAAAGAGCATTACAAATGTCAGTAATGAAACTAATACAGAGACACTCGATCCTTGTCATCACCACTGTATGTTTTTTTACTGTTAATCCCTGAGCTTTCCATTATACCTTTTCCTCCAAAACATTCTCAGTGCCTTCGTATTGATGATCTCATTCTTTTTCATGACATTTTGGACCCTAAAGGGCAAGAAAATCATAAGGTAGGGACTAAAGAACAGAAAGAGTTAAGTACACTAGACTACAGTAAAACAAGAAGATGCCCAAGAAAAGAGGACACTCCGGGAGAAGCTAGCGGAAGAGGTGGGCTTTGATCTGGGCTTGAGGAAGGAGTGCAATTTCAGTAGACAGGGGAGCGAGAAGAAGGAGTCCTTGGTAAAAGCAGTAATGTGCACAGGCGCAGAGGTGAGGCAGAGGTATGCTCTTGTGATTGTGAGGAGATGGGAGTCATTGAGATTGTGGAGGGCCCTGAGGGTCAGCCAGAGCTCCAGGTACTGTAGTAGAAAATGGGGTCCCTGGTGGTATGGGGGCTGGAGAATGACGGAGCGGTGGTTAGAGCGTGCTGGTCTGGAGCAGAGAGGATGGCAGAGAAGCAGCCTGGTTACAGGATGAGTGTGGTGTTATCCCAGCTTGGTCAGGGGATGGAAAGGAAGGAAACAAATCAGTGGGGAAGTCACGAGAACTCAGTGAATGAATAGGAAAGAATGAAAAGTAAATGAGTACATCTTCAAGCCCGGATGACAAGGAAATGGCAGTGCCATCAGTGCAGAAGTTGAAACATGGAACAAAGTTTTAGGGAAAGATCTTGACATCAGGCTTTGGGCATGTAATTTTGAAGGTGGTGAAGGAATATCCAGCCAGAGGAGCAGGCAGGTGGAGATAAGAGATTGGAACCTGGCCCGGGAGACTGAACTGGGGCATGACTATGAAAGCGATGGTTCTGAGAATGCAAGAATAGAAACAACCAGGGCCAAGGAGGAGCCGAGTGAAAAAAATGGAGGCAGCAGTCAGAGAACTGGGAGGAAACCATGTTGTCCCCAGAAGCCCAGGGGAGAGAGAGTTCGAGGAGGGCAGGCAGCCAAAAGCTTGAGAGCCTGATGGCTTGAGGAGCCCCACGTTAAGGGATTCTGAATTTATCTCTTCATTTACAAAGTGGAGGCTGGTGGTGGCCGTCAGTCGAGAGAGGTGATAAGCAGCCACTGCCATGCACACACTTCATGCCATGAGCCGGGAGGCCTCTCAGAGTTCCACGGTGCTCAGCAGCCAGCAGAGCCCCCGCCTCTCCTGAGCCGTGGTGCGAGTTCGTAACCAAGCAGCCAGCGTCTGACTCCGTCTGCCCTGCCCTGCTCTGCTCCATCCTGCTCCGCGCTCTTGTCCGCCCTAGAGCCCCCTGGAAACAGAGGATGTGAGCTCCCATTCGATACTTGCCCCCTTTGATTAGAAGAAACTAGAGCTGGATTAGCTGGCTGAGGTCAGGAGGGGGAGAATGGCCTCGGAACAAGTGTCCAAAAGTGGGTAGAGCTGGGGAAGGCCTAGAGAGGAGGCATAGCGGGACTGTTGGGGAAAGTCTCCTCACAGTGGAGTCTCCTCACATGTATTTATGTAATTATTAGTTTTTCTAGGGTATTTTTTGGGAGAGGGCTGTTGACAAATATCCCCAAGATATTTAAAGTCAATCACAGTGCTTGAAATACACTAGGAATAATAGAAACAATTATAAAATCACACGAATTAAAAATGGGATGAAAAGAAAACAACAGTGGGAAACAAGTGCAGCCAGAATGAGGCTGGAAAATAACACATTCTGCAAGGTGCTCTCACTGTTTGTAGGGGTCGCTGTTAACCCGATCAGGAAAGAGCTAACACTGCAGACCACTGACCCTAAGAAACCACTCCCCTGTCCTCCATCACCTTCCCTCCACAAATGTTTATGACGCCAGGCGTTGGCATGGATGCTGGGGCGCAAAGCCAGCCAGGCACAGCTCCTACCTTGTGAAGCTTCCAGTCTGACAGGATAACCATAACTGTGGGACGTCTGCTTTGCTCTCTCACTGTAATTCCTTGCCGGGCACATACATCCAGTTTATGGAAGGATCACACAGACCCTTTCTCACATCGTCTTGTTGGTAATCCAGAGTGACAGCCAACTAGCAACGCGATGTGGGGAAAAGCACGTTGCATGAGAAGGTCAGAAAAGTGATCAGCAGCCCTCCCTTGTAGTCCCTTTAAAGGAAGTTGTGTATGTGTTTGGGGAAGTCCCTTCACTTAGGTGGGCCTTGCACCATGCCG